TTAAATATTAATTTAAAAATGTTTTAGCTAGGTGTGGTGGCTCATACCTGTGATCTCAGCACTTGAGAGACTAGGGCAGGAGATTTGCCATGAGCCTGAGACCATCAGAAAGAAGGGAGGGCAGAAAAGGGAAGGAGGGAGAGGTTTTGAATTGATTGATTGACTGATTTCACAAACTCCTACACTGGGGTCCGAAGCCCTGGCACCAAAAGGGCAGCTACTGGATGTCCCCCAGGAAAAGGTGAGTTCAGATCATTTATTGGAAGCTGTATGTACAGGTACACATTTCCTGGCATTTGCTCATCTTTTCTATCATTTGGAACAGGGCTACAGGCAAGGGCAGAGAGAAGCTGAGAATTTTTCTCTTCCAGATTTTGCTGGTTCCTGGCCCTTCAGTAAAGTAGTGAGCAATGAGCCTGGTTCAGGTAGCAGAGGACCTGATCACTCAGCTTTGGACCTGTAACACTGGCTCCAGGGCCGCCACCTTTGAAGGCAAAGAATTGCTGTGATTTGAGTACCTAGAGCTTTGAGTTTCTGGCTTTGAAAGGCTGGGACCACAGGGCTCTAGGTATCAGGGCTTGAATGCTAAGCTCTGAGGCTTGGAAGCCTGCTTGCGAGTTTCAGGTGTGTAGGTCTGTCAGCACTGAGGGAGCCACCTCTGTTTGTGATTTCTATTTGAAGAGAGTAAAATGCCCCTCAGCCAAGTGTTATGAAAGGAACATCCACAGGGGCTGCCCATACAGTTCTGAAATTTTCTGTATCTGTTGGTATATGGCACTCATGGAATTTTGGGTCACTACCCAAATTTGGGTTACCACCCCAATGAAGTAGCACTTACCGCCAGCTACAGTGACAGGGAGGGAACTGATGTGTGGAGGAATTGCCTCATTTGGGATCCACCAGCAGGATGTGGACTCTGCCTCCCAGAGCTTTGCAACTTGGCTTTGGGGCTTGGGTAGCAATGTCTATGGAGCAAGCAGGGAAAGGAGAAGATGTTTATGGGGCAAAGCCCAAGTCTTCTGGACTCACTGGAGAGACCTGAAGAATCTTCCTGCCTCCACCAAGGACGGAGAGTTGCAAACATGGTTCTTCAGAAGAATGGATAAGGCTTGCTTGGAACAGGTACCCCCCCCCCAATACTGCCCTAGGCTCAGGACCAGGAGAGATGTCCATTTCAGGCCCCCATTGATTCAGTGTACTGCCCAGTTCTCAGAGGTAGCTAGCTACAGAGCATGAGCTGTGGAGGGTCAGCACACCTGATGGGGTAGGGGCAGCTTCCTACCCTATATGCAACTGGGGACTCAGCCTGGTAGCCCCATGTTCCTGCTTTTGGGAAGGCCCTCTAGCAGCCTGCAGTGGGAAAAGGCTGAGATGGGATGAGGGGCGCCTGAGCCTGAGGTATCCTGGCTCCTTGCTGGATTCCTTTCTGGGTAGGTCTTATAAGCTCAGAAAACCTGGAAGAACTGGGATTTTGTAGGAGAGAATGTATTCTATTCCTTTACACTGTATGAATATATGTTGCTGTTATTGGTTTAATAAAGAAGCTTATTGACCAATAGCTGGACAGGATAAGGTTAGGCAGGAGAACCAGACTAAGGACATTGGGAAGACGAAGGGTGGAGCCAGAGGAGCCTCGAGAGATGCAGAAAGAAGCAAGATGAACGAGTCATGTTGAAAGAAGGTACCACCATGTGGCAGAAGGTAGATAAGAAATATATGTTAATTTAAAATGTAAGAGTTATCTAGTAACAAGCCTGAGCCATCGGCCAAGCATTTATAATTAATAAGTCTCTGTGCATTTATTTTTGAAGCATTTTTGTCCCGATGACAAAAACTCTGTCTACAGGGGAGATATGTGGGACTAGGTTTTCTTTGAGTAAAGGCCTGACCTAGTTAGCTGCAGGCTCTGAGGTCTCAAGTACAGCTACAGCACTAATCAGGCTCCTGACCTTGGGGTCCTGACCTTGGGGGTAATGGTAGAGTGTGGGTCAGTGAGAATGGGGACTTCTATTTGCCTTACTCCAGGTACTGAGAATGCTGCCATGTGCTTTGGGAATGGGAGACCACCTTCCCTTCATGAACCAAGGACTGCTTGTCTCTTTCCAAGAGCAGATGGCCTTTCTGGGGAAGCAGCAGAGGCAGGTGAGGGGCATGAAGGTGTAGGAGTAAGGCTCTGCTCAGGCCACGTCACCTACACACAAAGGATGTAAGAAAATAGGACAGCTACCTGGGCTCCTTGCGACTAGGGAAGTGGCACAGCTGAAGTTGGCTGCATACTTAGTCCCCAGAACCTTGGACAACCTGACCAGGCAAGACCCACCTAACCAAAATCTTATTTTATTTTAAAGATTTTTCATGCAATGTATTTTGATCATATTTTTTCTCCTCCCCCAACTTCCCAGATTCTCCCACTGACCCAACTTCAGATTCTTTCTCCCTCCCTTCCCCACACCTTAAACCAAAACAACAACAAAATAGTACACACACACACACACACACACACCAAACAAACAGAAAACAAAAACAAAAAACAAAACCATACAGTCCAGAATCTCTTTAAAAAAAAGAGTGCACTGGGTCAGTGACTTTAATCCCATCACTTGGGAGGCAGAGGCAGACTGATCTCTGTGAGTTCAAGGCCAGTCTGGTCTACACAGTGAGTTCCAGAACAGCCAGGGCTACA